TCGTCAATGCTTATTTTATAGAAGTACACCCATGCATCCTTTTAAATGCAAACTAGCTTTTGATGTCTTCATAATAGTTATATACTTAGATGTTAGCTTTCAAATTATGCTATAATCATCCAAAAAAAGGTCTAGAACTCAAGTTATAATAAAATTAGTTAGGAAAGGTCAAGCTAATAAAATTAGACTAAAATATTACGGTTTTGTATAATTTTAAAAATAGTATATGGTAAAATCAACTCTTAAGGTCTTTTTCCTTTCCATAATTCATAAGGAGTATTATTTAACAAAGGTTTATCAATATTTTGGTTTGAATATAACAAGTAGTATTAACTGCTTCTTGCTATTTCTTGTAAGGTGGGATTCTTTCTTTCAAATATCCAATTTTGTTGAGGTGTTCATGGTGAACAAAAGTTGTCAAACACACCATTATTTTCATAAAACATTTTAAAATTATAATTTTCAAACTTGGTTCCATGATCACTTCTAATGGAAGATATGCAAAATCCTTTTTCATTTTGAACTCTTTCACATAATAACTCAAAGATTTTGAAAGACTCGTGTTTGTTGGCTAGGAAGTATACCCATGCATATCTAGAATAGTCACCAATAATAACAAGTCCATACTTCATACCACCTAGGCTTAAAGTTTTGGTTGGACCAAGTAAATCCATATGTAATAGTTCTAGAGGTCTAGAAGTGAAAACAATCTTTTTAGGTTTAAAAAAAGTTTTAATTTGTTTCGCTTTCTGACAGGCTTCATAGAGAAGTTGAGTTTTCCAAGAAATGCTAGGTAATCCTTTTACTAAAATATTTTTGCATAATTTTGAAATATGTTTCAAATTGACATATCCTACCTTTTTATGCCATATCCATCTTTCCTCTTCTCTAGATTCAATTAGCCAAATTTTCTAGATTAATCACATAGAGATTATTCTTCCTATAGGCAATAAAAAGCACAAGTTCATCATCATGCTTGACTATGCATGCATCTTTGTCAAAGGTCACAATATATCCACTATTACAAAATTGACTTATGCTAAACGCATTGTACTTTAAAGCTTCAACATATAAAACATTATGAAAAATAGGTATAGAATTTTTATCAATCTTACCTATACCTCTTATTTTTCCTTTTCTATTGCCTCCAAATAAGACTGATCCTTCATGAGATTGAAATTACCCAGGTACTAGTGTGAACCCTTCATTTTTCCCACTAAGGATATCTAAAATAGAAATTATCTAATATTTTGGTACTGTAATCTTTTTTTGTCCTTTCTTGTTACCACCCACAACCTTAGAGTTGTCCTTTTATTTATTTTTGCATTTTCTTGGATGATGTCCTCCTTTTCCACATATTTTACAAAATTAGTCTTAGATTTGAAGTGTCATGTTCTAGATTCATAATCAAACCTGAGAACACCTTTGTTAGATGGAAGTTTTCTATGTTTTAAAAGCATGTTCATTTTTGATGATCCATCTACAAAGTTAGCAAGATCCTTTATGAGTTGTATGTTTTCAGCCTATAAAATTGTGATCTCAAGAGGAACATTGCTAATGATTTCTCGTTTGAGAGTTTGAATCTCTCTAGTATCATCTAACATATCTTTCTTGAGTGCATCATTTTCTTTTTGTGAGACATTACATTTTTCTCTGTTCTTTTGTACTTGAGAGAGATCACGTGAAAGTATACCAAAAGAGTTACATAGGACATCCTTTCCACATGAAAATCATCAAAAGTACAAAAATTGGAGTTAGATTTTACCTTTATATTTGTATCGTCTATATAAGTTTTTGCATCCATTATAATGTAGATGTTAGCTTTCTCCACATCTGAATTACTACTACTTTTGTCCAGATCTTCCCATTTAGCCATTAGACTTTTCTCAGCTTCCTTCTTGCTAGTCTATCGCTTTTTGAGTGTAGAGAATTTAGCTTTCATGTGTCCAAGCTTCTTGAACTCATAACAAGTGACCTCCTTATTGTTGTTATCTTGAGTAGGTCTTTTGAATTTGTCTTTCTTTCTATGAAAGATCCTTAGTCTTCATTTTTTTTATCATGATCTTAAACTTTTTAGACATGAGAGATATTTCATCATCTGTTGAGTTCTTAGAGCCTTCATCTAAGTTGCTGCTCAGATTCAACCTTTAGAGCTTTCTTTTTTTCTATTAGTTTCATCGCTTTTTAATGCAATAGACTTATTTGCCTTAAGTTGGTCTCTATCGTTCAGGAGAACTTCATGAACTCTCAAAGCTCCCAAAAGCTCGTCAAGAGTAAGGATCTTTATATCACATGCTTTTGATATGACTATGGCTTTAGGTTCCCAAATCTTAGGAAGACTATCCATGATCTTAAACTTATTCTAAGCTTTGGTGATGGAGGACTATCCAAGGAGAGTGCACACATAAAGACTATTGGGCCTTTAACTAGGTCCATAGTTAGGAAGCTCAAGGAGGCTTCTACAAAGGAGGTGCTTCTTAAATTTATGCTCTTCATGAATATTGAGTATGATTCCTCTTATTAGTCTTTTAGCTTTCATTGTATATACATTGTATAGTACATGTACATAGTAGCTACTTGTATAGGTGTATTTTGCCTTTGAATTTGTAAGGCACCAGAGGTGGATGATTAACAACTTGTTCCTCATTCTCCATGGACCGTATTGACCTCTACAATGTTAGATGTTGAACCTAAGAAGTTGACTTTTGCACTTGTTTTAGCATACATGTAATTGATTATCCTGACTTGTAATCATTTACAATGGAAGGTGTTCATTCTAAGCTCATTTCTTATACTCATGTAACTGGTTACATTTTTCATGTAATTCAAGGTTTAGGGTTTATAAATGAAATATGATTTTTGACTTACACATTTAACCAATTATATCTCATGTAATCAATTACATTAGAGTAACTATTTTGGCCAAGAAATAAATTATCACTATGTAACACATTATCCCGTGATGCAATTGATTACATTAGTAATCGATACACTCAAAGAAGGTGACTTACTAAGAAAAGGGTTTCTAACTTAAAACTTCCTAACTAATCGTTCACTAGATGATGGTTACAAGACTTAGAGAACTTTCACAAAGTTTGCGCATAACTAAAGCAATTTTACAATAATCACAATGTCTGACTATTTCTTTTCAAGTTTTATTGTATTTATAGGATTTAGATATGTATCCATTGGTGAGTACCTTTGACATTTGGTTATTTAAAGTAAAGACCTAGCTAAGAGACTTTACTGAATGACTTGATCGATCATACTATACTAGATAGATCATAATCCTTTCGTAATTTTGGATCCAATCTCCCACTTGACACGCAAAGCAATAAATAACAGTCTATCTTTATAAAGAAAGAGAAGGAGAGAAAAAGCGCTTGACCTACAAGAAAGTTCTTCATACTTGTTTAGAGCTTCAGGTCTTTATAAAACCATATACATGATTAGAAAAAAAGTGAGGAAAAGACAAAGTCTAAGCTTATTGATTAATTAGGTCCTGAAAATTTTGTTTGTAGCTTGACTTTTTTTTTTTTTACAGTGTTGGCCTAACTCATCATACCATTCTGCACACGTACACAAATAACGAAATAAAGTATAATAACCCTTATAACGCATACCAAATATCAAAATGCTTATTGCAATACATTTTCTGAACATTTGAAAGCTTACTATAAGGTACGAAGACGTCCAACAAGTATTGGACTAGTGAAAACTTAAAAGACGCAAACACTCTTCTTAGTGCATTGGATGCTAGATAAAGGCATTGACTATCCTAAGTTATTAAGCCTTACACTTGTTCATTTTTACATGATTGTAGAAAATGTTTATTATAAAAATATGTTTGCTCTTTATTCCTAGTGTATCGTTGAACGCATGTATCCTATAATGACCTACACAAATATTAGTCTCTAAAGGTCATTGTTTTGTCATCAAAATTGTAATATTAGAAACATATGTTCGTTTTTTGTTCAACATAAACCCATAACATATAAGAATCAAAATAAGACTACTTCAAATATTATCTCCTATTCTTAAGTCTTCTAAGGATCAACATTCATGAACTCACCCTAACCCAAGTCTTGCTTCAACATTCACCATCCTTTTATTCAGATCATCCAAAGAGTTATGCACCTTATTTGCATTCTCATGGTTGAGATGCAACAAAACATCCATCTTTTGTAGTACAAGAGTGTTAAAATGTGATACAAACTTCTAGAATAAGCTAGATTATTCTAGAAAAATACATAAGTATATGCTAGTAACTACTAGATGATACCTAATTCTAGACTTGGCCATCACCAAAGTCTACTCCAAGACGAGTTAGATCCTTGGTGGATATATATGAAACCTGCAACTTGGCCATACTTGAACCTGAAAGCTTTGAAGCAGCGTCAAAGCAACAAGTATGGGTTAAGGCTATGGAAGAAGAGATAAAAATGATTGAAAAAAATAACACATGGGATCTAGTAGACTATCCAAAAGACAAAGATATCATCGGGGTAAAATGGGTTTATAAGACAAAGCTCAATCCGGACGACACCATACAAAAGCACAAGGCAAGGTTGGTAGCTAAGGGGTATTCACAACAACCTGAAGTCGACTACAATGAGACATTTGCCCCAGTAGCACGCCTAGATACAATTAGAGCTCTAATAGCTCTTGCAGCATAAAAAGGCTGGAATATCTACCGACTAGATGTTAAGTCTGCTTTTCTCAATGGAGTACTACAAGAAGTGATCTATGTAGGGCAACCACAAGGTTTCATAAACAAGGGAAATGAAGACAAAGTACTAAGGCTTAGAAAAGCTTTATTATATGGTTTGAAGTAAGCTCCTCGGGCATGGTATAGTAGAATAGATCAATACTTCACCGACCATGGATTTAGGAGGAGTAGGAGTGAGCTAACACTATACATCAAGACCCAAGGTCAGTATGACACTCTCATTGTCTCCTTGTATGTAGATGATCTTATCTACACAAGGAACAATATGAAGATGATGACAGAATTCAAAGAAGACATGATGAAGACATTTGAAATGACAGACCTTGGCTTAATGAACTACTTCCTTGGTATTGAGGTAAGTCAAAAGAAGAAAGGGATATTCATCTGTCAAAAGAAATACATTGAAGCTCTCTTGAAGAAGTTCAAGATGAGTGGTTCCAAGACTGTCACTACTTCGCTTGTGACAAAGGAGAAGCTACAAAAAGATGATGGAGCACTAGATGCTGATGCATCTCGCTACAGAAGCCTGGTTGGAAGCTTACTATATTTAACAACCACACGACCACATAATGTATGCTGTGAGTCTTTTATCAAGGTTTATGCAAAGCCCAAGCCAAATTCACTTTGGAGCAGCTAAAAGAATTCTAAGATATCTACAAGGTACAAAGGAGTTTGGTATTTGGTATAAAACAATGACCAACTCAAGTTTGCTCGGATACACTGACAATGATTGGGAAGGATCGGTATATGACATGAAGAGCACCTCTAGTTATGTCATATCACGGATCAGGAATATTTTCTTGGGTATCAAAAAAACAAGCAACAGTTGCACGACCAACCACAGAGGTAGAATATGTTGCAACAATTGAAGCTACAAGTCAAGCAATTTGGCTACGAAGAATACTTGTAGAAATGGGAGAACAACAAGATGGCCCTACTACAATCTACTGCGACAATAAATAAGCAATAACAATGACCCACGAAAGTTGTTATCTACGGAATTTTCCGTAGGTAATGTTACCTACGGAATTTTCTGTAGATAACTCACGAAAGTTGTTATGTATGGAATTTTTTGTAGATAACCCACGAAAGTTGTTATCTATGGAATTTTTCGTAGAAAATCCACGAAAGTTGTTATCTACAAAAAATTTCATAGCTAATGTTATCTACGAAAAATTTCGTAGATAACAACTTTCGTGGGTTATCTACGAAAATTTCTGTAGATAATAACTTTCGTGGGTTATCTACAGAAAATTTTGTAAGTAACGTTACCTACGAAAAATTCCGTAGATAACAACTTTCGTGGGTTATCTACGGATTTTTCGTAGATAACCTTGGCGGGATATAGGAAAATTTTTTTTATGCTCTATGTGATGTAAAGAATATTTGGTAAAAAATAAATATTATTAAAAATTGTCATTTGAAATTTTTTATTTTTATAAATTAATGATAAAAAATAACATACTAATATATGGTTTTAAATTTGATATGAAAATATTATGATATAATTAGATAAGATTTTAAATTAGTATTTTATTAATGGTTGATAATTAGAAAATAAAACAAGAATAAATAAATTTCTTGAATTTTATATCTTAGATTTAAGATGAATATATATATATATATATATATATATATATAATAGAAATAAGTAGATTTTTAATTATACAAGTAAGTATATATATATAAATAAAGATTAATTAAATATTATAATAATTATTATTAGTAATATAATTATTATATATATTTTTATATTTTTATAGCGGTCTGGACATACCAAAATAAGAGGGATCCAAAAATATTATAACTATGAGATTGTATAGTTGAGGATGACTTAAATGATATAATTTGTACTACTTATACTGATAACATGCATTTGCTTTTTGGTAGCTTATTTCATCAGAACTTCACAATTAAGCGTGCTTGACTTGGAGTAATTTAGGGATGAGTGACCTTCTGGGAAGTTTCCCAGAAAACGTGCAGCAAGGACAAAACACGTTGAAAAGTGAAGTGTAATAAAATAACATCATTGAGAGGCCAAATATGAGGGTTGTTACATTAATAAATTTATTAAAATTAAACAATTTTTTTTTGAAGATTATCTACGGATAAAATCCGTAGATAACAACTTTCGTGGGTTATCTACGGAAAATTCCGTAGATAACGTTACCTACGAAATTTCTCGCAGATAACGTTATCTACGACCTTATTACCTATGGATTTTTTTCGTAGATAATCCGTAAAATTGATACTTATCTACGGATTTTCATGCTTATCTATGGATTTTTCTGTAGATAATCTTGATTTTTCTTGTAGTGTATATGCTAGTAACTACTAAATGATACAAATTCTAGAATTATGTAGATAATTACATATAGATAGAAAACTCTAGAATAGAGATCTCTAGAATCTTCTACATAAAACATGAATGGTGGTGTGTTGAGGCCTATAAATAGGCCATGTACCCAACATTTTTAACCAAGCAACTAGTAAGTTATTTCCACTACTCAAATCTATTCCAACTATTCCTCTAAGCTAGTTTTCCTCTCAACTAAGCCTATCATTATAAATTTGCCTCCCCATTCTTTCTACCAATCAAATAAGTTTTTACTATTTGATAATTCATAAACTAACAAAGAGATTAAAAATCTCTTTTGGTTAGTGAGTCTACTTCTGTTTCCTCTTCCTTTTCTTTTTCTACGTATTCTTCATCTTTTTGAGGTTGTTCCTCTTGCTCTTCATCTTTCATGATTCAGCCATGTTCAATTTTAATCATATCCATCTTTTTCACATTTTCCTCTCTTAGTTCATGGATATGTATAGTGAAGTCATTCACTTCATTTGACACATCCACATTGAAATAATTCATGAACCTTGAGACAAGAAAATGGTATGGAAACTTGTAATCATTGAACCTTCTAGACTTCAACATAATTTCCATAATGAACATATATAATTCAGTTTAACCTTATTAAATTCTTCACTCGAAAAATCCTTGCCAAATCTTTTGTAACAAGTCCCACATCGAGGAGGTCTCCTTACCAAGGAGACCTTATAAGGCGGGAGGTTCTCCAACCTCTTGGGCCGGCTTTTGAGGGATGGTTCCCCTTCTTAGCCTTATGCTTGTTACAATTGGTGCTTTCATTGAGAGCTAGCCAAATCGAGAAGGGCTACCCACGGAGGGTTCTGACCATCGGAGGGTTCTGACCGGCAAAAGGCCGAGTGAAGTGCCGATGAGTGAAGTACCGTTACTACAAGAAAAATGCTGATTTTCGACGGAAATAGGTAAATTTCCGACGGATTTTGCTTTTTCCGACGGATTTACGACGGATTTCAATCCGTCGAAAAAAGTGGCGTCGGAAAAAAAAATCCGTCGGAAATAATTTTTCCGACAGAAAATTCCGTCAGAAAATTCCGTCGGAAATTTCCGACAGAAAAATCTGTCGAAAATTGCTGTCAAAATTTTCGACAGAAAAATCCATCGGAAATTGCTGTCAAATTTTCCGACGAAAAAATCCGTCATGATGTTGCGTGTGTAAAAAGGCATGATTTTTGAGTTGTTGGTTGAAAATGTGACACTTTGGTTGGTTTGCATGTGTTTGGGATGTTGATTTTTGCAGGTTTTGGGTGAAATTTTCGAAGTGGTGAGGGTTACTGTTTGAAATTGCGCCGGGCACAGTTTTTCGCATCGGGCGTGATTTGAAATGGGAAATCCCTGGGTGAATCACGCCAGGCTTGGGGAGAATCATGTCGGGCGCACTATCAGACGTGAATCTTATGTTTTTGTTACTGATATTGCGCCGGGCGCAAAAGACCTCTATAGGTCTCTGGTTGAGATTTGAGCCGGGCGTGAATTTTTCTTTCAGAATTTGACTTTATAGTCTTCATGAAAGTTGTAGCCTTGGATGTTAGCTTTCCAATGGCGCTGGAATCACCCAAAAAGGAGTTCTAGAACTCAGGATATAGCGGTTTTAGTGAAGAGGGGTCAAGCTGCCAACATTGCTTATAGCTGTTGCGGTGTTTATCATTTTTAACAAGGTAGATGAAGTAATTAAGACTTGGTGTCTTCATGAGAGTTTTAGGAAATCTTCTTATCTCTCATATGAGATAAGTATGAGCATGGTAGGAGTAGTACAACTCCTGATATGCTATTTTATTTGAAGGTTGTCATTTCACAATTAGTGATTTGGTTAAGTTGAAAGTTGTTTTAGGTGCTTAGGTTGATTGGTGTTGTTTGGGTGGGTAATTTGGCATGATAGATGAGTTGTAAACAAGATGGATGAGTCGTAATATGTGTTGAACATGTTGTACGTTGTGAAGTTGTTGATCATGCTGTTAATAATGTTAAGTTGAGCTGTGATGTATGTTGTTTGAGCTGTTATTGCTGTTAAGCTGGGCTGTACTGTATGTTGTTTGAGCTGTTATTGCTATTAAGCTGAGCTATGCCGAATGGTGTTTATGCTGATTTAAGTTGTTAATGATGAATGTTGTTGAGCTAAGTGATGATTTTGATGTGTTGTGAGTTGTTTAAGCTGGGCTATGAGTTGTTTAAGCCGTATTTTATAATGTTGAGCTGTGCTGCATGCTGTTATTACTGTATGCTGATTTGCTGTGCTGTGCTGCATGCTGATATAAACTGTTGTAGGCCATAAGGATGAGCTGTTGTAGGCCGTAAGGCTGAGCTGTTGTAGGCCGAAAGGCTGAGCTGTTGTAGGTCGTAAGGCTGAGCTGTTGTAGGCCGTAAGACTAAGCTGTTGTAGGCCGTAAGGCTGAGCTGTTGATCACTAAGACTAGAGGAGATGTTTTTCGAAATTGCTCATCCCATTGTGTGGATTGAGGTAGCTGTGGTGGTCTTAGAGCCCAATTTGTTGAAAACCCTCCCTGGAAAGCTGACTCTTGGAGTGGTGACTATGCTATTCTCCTCTAAGTTCTTAGTGGTCCCGTGTGTGGGCAAGGTTGAGGCACACGTGTACAAAGCGACCACAATATAGGGGTCAGGTCGAGCTATACTGATTACAAGCGACCAATTCTAGCTGATATGCCTGACGACGCATTGTGTGTTTACTGTTGTTTACTGCTGTTATTGCTGAATGATGTGAGATGTATGCTATGATATATTATATGCTGATGTTGTTAAGCTGGTTGATATGTTGTTAGCTCTAGCTGATTATAATTCTTGTAATTATACGTGTATATGTTGATGCTTTTCACTAGCTTACCCTTTGTTGTTTCCATGTGGTTTGGACTGCAATGATCATACTATGTATGGGAGCAGAGCAGGGTTAGGTTGGTGTTCTGAAGTGGGTCTACAGCTGGCAAATGGAGTGGATTTTGATGTTTTGTTGTTTTTAGCTACTTAGTATAGCATTGCTGGATGTATTTTGTTTACTCTGATTTTTAGCCCCAGATTGGACCTTGTGTATATATTCTAGTTGTTTATATATATACTTGCTCTTTTCTGTGTAGTGCTGTGGTGTTGTGCTGTGTGTAATGACTAGTCGGGTCGTTACAAAATTGTTGAGAGGGAGAATTGTTAGACTCCACTACCCGAGGGTACATACTGAGAATTGTTAGAAAGAGAAAACAAGGACTCAATGACTTAAGGCAGGCTCTTCCTTTTCTTTCATTTTTTTCCCTTCAATTTTCAGCTTTCATTCTTTGAAATAGCTACTGAATCAGAGAGAAGTGTAAGGGGACCTTATGTTATACAAATCTTGCTATTAATTATGTGCCATATCAAAATCAAAAATCCTTAAGGGATGCACAGCGGTAAATCAATATAACGAGTTATATCACTTTTGAGAGAGTTTTGTTACATTATAATTTAGACAATTCCTACAGTGTAAGTTCTATTTAGAGGATACTAATGCCTCCTTTGACTAAAATCATTTAAATGATATCATGTGTGATTTTTATTATACTTATCATTTTACAAGCAAGTTTTAGTTTTTACGGATTAATCCCTCATTAATTTATTATATTTTGAAAAATAGTCCCACATTAATTATATGCACGGTTTTAAATTGCGGTTGTGGTCGCAGTTGCGGTTATTGTGATTGCAAGTATTGCGATGCGGATTGCAGTCGTTGCGATGTAAAATTATTAATTATTTTTACTAAATATAAAAAATTTATAATTATCAATATATTTTATTTTTAAAGATTTATACATTTTAATTCCTTTTTTTCTCCATTCGTTCAAGCTTCTTCTTCCTTTGTCTTCTTACCGAAGCTCGGATTTTTCGCACCGAGGTAAGGGAAGCTAGTTCTTTGGCTGATTTTGTTGGAAATGAGTTTATAAACTCATTGAGTGGCTGATTTTTTGATGAATGATGAGCTGTTTTGATGAAAACGGGTTTTCGGGGTTTTGATGAAAATTCGGGGATTTTCCTTGTTTGATGTTGCGTGTGTAAAAAGGCATGATTTTTGAGTTGTTGGTTGAAAATGTGACACTTTGGTTGGTTTGCATGTGTTTGGGATGTTGATTTTTGCAGGTTTTGGGTGAAATTTTCGAAGTGGTGAGGGTTACTGTTTGAAATTGCGCCGGGCACAGTTTTTCGCATCGGGCGTGATTTGAAATGGGAAATCCCTGGGTGCCCGCCTTATAAGGCCTCCTTAGTAAGGAGACCTCCTCGATGTGGGACTTGTTACATTACTACCCCCTTCGAAAGCCAGCGTCCTCGATGGCTGCACTCCACGGTACTTCACTCATCGACACTTCACTCGGCCTTTTGTCGGTCAGAACCCTCCGATGGTCAGAACCCTCCGTGGGTAGCCCTTCTCGATTTGGCTGACTCTCAATGAAAGCACCAATTGTAACAAGCATAAGGCTAAGAAGGGGAACCATCCCTCAAAAGCCGGCCCAAGAGGTTGGAGAACCTCCCGCCTTATAAGGTCTCCTTGGTAAGGAGACCTCTCCGATGTGGGACTTGTTACATCTTCCTTAGTTGGTTTAGCATGGTTGCTTCCTCTAAGTGTCAAAACCCATGTGAGAAAATACATCAAGAGTTTGTCATGTATAGTAAATCCCTTAACTCCCAACATTTCCTTGACCCTTGCACTTGGGTTTCTAAGAATTCCTCTTTTATGTCTCCATTTTATTGAATTTGAGTCTTCATTCCTTTCTATCAAACTTGAAATTTCCCCGTACTTTAAGATAGCCAGCCACATTAAGCTATATTTCGGGTGTTATGGTCGCACTATATGTACACTAATGTTTTGGCATAGAACATAGGATAGTCCTAATCAAAGGACAAGTGTATGATGATGAGTAAAAAACCTAGTTATGTTGCTAAGCCTATCCAATATATAGTTGTTTTGCCTTTTCTCTCTTTTTATTTCTTATTCCTAATAATCTATATCAGTTATTATCTTTTGGGATATTTATATTGTATAACTATAGTCTATTATTTATTATTATTAGAGACACCATTTGTTATAAATGAATTATCTTTAACTAATTATTATCTCTATTTATTTCATATTTTTTTTTCTCATATATATATATATAATAATTATATCTTTAATAACGACACGGCCACGATCGCCCGAACCTAGGAGGGTTCGGTTTTGAAAGCTAAATACCAAACAACTAGGTACATTGTTTTGCTTTAAAATCCGGTTTATTTCGTTTGCATTTTAGCGTGGTTTGATATAAGTAAATAATGACTTGGTATAATTTAACCATTCTTTTTTACCCGGCCCAATTGCATCACTGGAGAGAAGAGCCTTTATAGGTACATTGCTTTCAAAATAAGAAGGCAAGACCACTAATTAACTAGGGAAAAAAAGAACCTTGTAGTGCATTTGACCCGTTAAAGAAAGAGAAATATCAGCTAAAATAATTTATATTTGTCAGAAAAAAAATTGAATTTGAAACGGAATTCTTCTGTCAGGGGCCTATACTAACACATTTCTTTAGTATATATGATTGAGCTGGCATATACTCTTCTCACTAGTTAGTTGGTGAGGCAGAGGAGAAATAAATGTTCTAGGGAGCATCTACGTATATCATCAATTTATAACTAGACTTAACCATTTTTTGTGACAATATTTTTTGGTATAGTTTTATCTGGGGCAATGACTTCTGTTTCATTAATCCCTTTGTCATGGATTTGTTGGTCTTCCTCGTCCTTAACTTTTGATTTCAACAAATGAGGCCTGAGTTTGTTTACATCTGACAGTTGAACTGGTTTCAAAAAGAATTCATCAGCACCATCTTCTAGGCATCTGATACAAACAAAAATGAGTTATTGTTAGATTTGTAGTTCAGTCATGTGGTGCCTCATAATTTGAGGATTTGACACAACTATTGTCTTTACAATAAGATTTGGCTAATAAGAGGCGATTCCCCTCACCTGTTGATCCTTGATGGGACATTTTCTGAGGACATAATCACCACAGGTATGTCTTTAAGAGATCTGGATTCCTGCAAATCAATAACTTTCTGTTATTTTTCTAGCATCAAACCGGAAAAGATTCATGCAATTGAAGATTGTTATGCCCATCAAAAAAATGGTTTAAGATTCTGTTTCATGAAAGATTGGCAAATATCTCATTTAATTAATTTATATAAAATATGTTATTTCTGAAATCAGATCCCATCATTTCAAAATTTTGACTGAATAGCGGGAGAAAAAAAAATCAAATTTAGTTTTGTGATGTACACAAATTTTTAAATTGAGGAAAAAATAGTGAAATATTTTTGTGAAACATAAACTGGATCCATCATATAAAGAAGACTAACACAAGACATGTTATAAGACAAAATATCCCAGGAGTTTACCTTGATCTTTCTCAGCAGGTCATAGCCAGTCATTTCTGGCATACAGTAATCAGTTATGATCAGGTTTACTTCTACATCCTGCAATCACAAGTGAAAGGAATTAGATCATACATCATTTAAACTTGATCAAAGAAAAAAAGGATAAACAATATATATGCATAACTATTTAGAGATTTTGCAAGAGAATTGAACCTGATGAGCTTCTAGAGCAATAGAGGGAGGCTCTTCATTTATCTGCTCATCTTCAACCAAACCAAGAAGCTTCAAAGCCTTACTGCCAGAATCCACGGCTGTTACTGTAATTGCAAAACATAACATAAAAGAATTAGATTTCAAGTTAAGCAAAACCAAATTGCCCCTTCAAATACTGAATGTAAGATATAAGACCAAACAAACCACATAATTATGATTCCTTCAAAGTAAGCACTATAATTAAGTTTATGAACATTAAAAAGTAAGATAAAAAAAATAAACTTACCATGAAAGGAAGAAGTTTTGAGGAGCCTCTCAATCAACATTCTGTCAATAAGGCTATCATCAACAGCCAAAACATGAAACGGGGCCTCTGCGGCTATGCCCATAATTTCGATGATGAGGTGAAAAAGCAATAGGAAAAAAGAAGCTAGGGAGAGAAAAATGAATAGGAATAGAAGAAAGAATGAAAAAAGTGATGTGATGAAGGAGGGTGGCATGCACATTTTAAAAGGGAGCACATCATGGTCAAGAAGATACAAAATCCACCAAGGAAATCTGACAGTTTGGAAAGCAAGATCCGACAGATTTCATCAAGAATCTGGCGGATCTTCTGGGTTGATTTTTGAATTGAAAATTAAGCAAAGAAGGTGCTCTTATTGTACCAAACTCAAAATCTGACTTGTTCATTATTATTATTCTATTTGACCCTTTTGCTTATGGTTAAAGACAAAACTATTGGGGTGTGCTGCACTGTTCTCTTCTCTCCATTACCCTTTCACGAGATCAATAGGTTTAGGTTGTCATTGTTCACTGTTCAGAGTCGTGTATGGTCGCTATTCTATTCCATGCACGTGCATGACCTGCATAGCACTAAGAGACCCACGTACGTACAACTATACAACTAAGCCAGTACAAAACGTAATTTTCTTGCTTACTAATCAAATGTTTGTCTTTACTCTATTTTTAAGAGCCAATTTTGACTTAAACCGATTCTGTTTCTCTTTCTTAGAACATTCCACCATTTTCATTATTTATTTATTTACTCAAGGTACCTATTTCATTTCCAATTTTGATTTTTCTTTATTACCTGAGCTTAATTAAAATAATTAGAGAAAGAATTTAGACAAAAATGGTAGTTACAGGTCTTTGATATTTCAAAATTATCCTCTCAAATTAGGCTGTCTTGAAAGAATACCCTTTTGTCTTTTCTGCTTCAAAATCAGCATTGTTATATTATCGATCGGCATATATATATTGACTTTCTAATTGTTCCTTTCTTATATTGATTTTTCTTCTCAGGGGTCAATACTAGTTTAAGAGATATAACTGGAGAATGATCATGTGGGTCATTAAACAATTGAAAATATTTCACATTCTGATTTTTCGATTTATATCGTCTGACATAAAATAAAATAAAAAAAATCCTTTATGAAAGAAATAAATATATTTTGTTGCAATATTTCGTCAGATTCTATTATTTTGATCAGTGAGTGAAATAATATCTGATGTGAGATAAGTACCCTCTGATGGAGGAGTTGGGGCATTCATAGAATAATTTTGTGATATTTTAATCTTTTTCGTTCAAATCAAATTAAATTTCATTTATTTATTTTATATAGACTGAAAACAGAGTAATAATATTATTATACAGATTTCTAAACACAAAATGATCAAATATTAAATTTTCATAAAGTATCAATATAATTCGAACTCTCGAATATCTATTTATTTCTCTCCAAGATTTTAACAGGAAAAATATTTTTGATTCAAATTGTATTCAATTTGTAAATGTGGAGGCAGATTTGAGAATGTTAATATCTGGAAAAATCCATTTTGATTTGAATTATATTCAATTTGTGAAGACGAGGGCAGATTTGAGAATGTAAATATCTGCGTCGTCTGAACTTAAATCTGTAGTATAAAATTACAAGTTTTAAAAAGAAGGATATTTTTATTTTTATTTTTTACAGAAAAAGAAGGATTATTTTATGCTCATTCTTTTTTTTTTTCACAATTATTAAAACTAAATAACTAGTTTAAATTATAATCATAGTTAAATCATAAAGTTGAAATCGAAAATTGTAATAATTTAATTTTTAAAAAAATTATAATTACATTTTTTTGTTTAAAAATTATATTTTATTTTCACTTTTCCTGTTTAATTTTTTTATATATAAAAAGCAGTGAAAATATTTGTTTGTTTTCTTCATTTTTTCTATATGACTTTTAAAAATATAAAATAAAAAAGAATAAATTATATTTTTTCTTCGTTTATCTTATTTATTAGATTATTTTGATCATTTATATTTTAAAATATTCTTTTGGTTTTTTATTTCTTAAATTTGGATTAATTTGATCCTTTTAAAATATGATTATTTTTTATTTCAAAACATGATTTTGGATCAATTTTTAATTAATTCAAGACTTGAAATTTCTTATATTAAAATCAATTATATGAAAACTGTTGAACGCAACTAAACTTCAAATAAATTTTTTTTGTAAACATAGTAAAAATTGAATAAAAATTAATCCAAAACACAATCAAAAATTTCAAAACTATTATTTCATACTATTTTCTAGTTGTTTATGAGATATTTTTCACATGATTTTTATTATATTTATAATTCTATAAATAATTTTTACATATTTAAATTTATTTTTACAAGTTTGACGTCTCAAATCAATAAAAAGATTAATTCAAAATTGTGTTATAAAATTAAATAATCATTATTATTTTAAAAGGGATCGAATTGATCAAAATATAAAAAAAATAACAAAATAAACATTTAAAAATATAAATGATTAAAATAAATATAAAATAATAACTAAAAATATAATTTAACCTAAAGAAAAATAACGTAATATTTTTAAGTAAAAGTAATGATAGAAAATGTAAATAGAAAATATTTTCTCAAAATAAAATATCTTAAATATCTTAATTATTTTTTTAAAATTGTTGATGTCTTATTTTTTACACTATAGAATTAAAATATATTTAATATATATATATATATATATATATATATATATATATTATTTATGTATGTGGAGTG